AAAAAACTCTTTTCAGTTCTAATTATGATGATTGAATTAAGATCTGATCATCACGCGAGATGTTGTGATTTTTGTGATATATTTATGTGAATTATTCAATATATAACGTCTTTTTTGCTCCTGAAAATTTTGACAAGGACAATTTATTTATCGTGGGAAAAAAAAGATTGTAGACTAACTCGAATTAGTTAAATTCGTTAAAAAAGAATCAGAGAAATCCATAAGGAAATTCGGAGAGTTAATTAATAGCTCAGAAAGAAGTAGAATTGTTGCTAATCTCGAATCATTTTTCAGTTTGAAACGAGATTATTCGTAAAAAAGTTGAACAATTAAATAACAATTTTAAATTCATTTAAAAAAGAAAAAGATTATACTGTATTTGGTTTTCTCCGATTTAATTATTCAAGAATAAACATGCAAAGATCGAGAGCTAAAAAACACCCGTCAAATTTTTTAACTTTACCATTGATTAATTACAGACTTACATGCCCGCACGGATCATATATGATATATAGACCATACAAATCAACACCTATTTTAAACCAACCTTCATAAACTTATAATCTTGTCATAACCCAACTTGGTTCAAATTGTCACAAACGTATAATCAAACACTACATTTTTTGACGTCATCAAACGAATGCAATTTTTTTTTATTGATATAAAATTCATGAATATTTAGCACATGTTCAATTTGGTAGTCCAAAATGCTCATATATACCTCACGTGAAATATGCATGGTCGATCCAATGATAAGTGACGATAAAAAAAACATAATATTATACAAGGACATCACATTATTCATGTACACATACGCTTTATAAATTCACATCAAGTGATTCTTGACGATAATCCAGTAAAAACCTTCATCCATATCGTTGATCCCACGCATAGTTTCGATGATAAATTCGTGATTATCGCCACGACGCGATACATCAACCACCGCGATTCTCTTCCTCGTCGTATTTTCGTCTCCGGGAACGTTTCGGTAAGGTTTCTCGGGCAATGAAGCGGTCTCGGGCTCGTCTTTGGGCGTAAGACGGCAACTCATCAATGCTCTAAGGAATATCACGATCGAAGCCATGTGTCTTCGACGTCGTAGGAACGATTTGATTTGCTTCAATTGCGTATCTAATCACTTTTTAAGTGCAAAGACGTACACATAAATAAAACATATATA